GTTCCACAGTAATGGTGATTTTATGAAAACCTAATGAAAATGTTTTTAAATAATGGTATGAATTTTTTTTAAAAAGTCAATTAAATTTGAAAAAAGGAAAGTGCTTCAGTATTGGACAAAACCCCTACCACCCACCATGAAAGCTGGAACACCCACTAGTGGACAGTAGGGACCAGGTTGACTACCACTGCATTAGAGGAGAAGGTAGACTTTTATTGGAGAGGTGTTAGGATTAGACTGTTGGAGTATTCTCTTCAAAGAACATGTGGAAGAACAAAAGGCTGAATGCCTGAGGGAGCAAAGATGGTTTTATCGTTCACAAAATGCCCTTCCCATTCAGTAATTTCAGGGAATTCAGCTCCAATTGAGTTAGACCTCTGTGGAAAACCAAATAGGGGAACGATTCATGTGATGTGACATGATTAATTTAGTCACCAAATCAGTGCCTGAATTAGGAAGAAATAGAAGTCATGTTTCTTTTTAATTGTCCCTGACTATGAATCATACGTCTCTTCCAAAGGAAATAAATGATGTAAGATTAGGACATTTCCCAGTTGAGTAGAGTCATTTCCCTGCCTCCCTTTAAGAGATTGCCTATTATAAATTAAAAATAAAGATTCCTGGCTTTGTTTTCTATTTCCTTTTTGCCTTACTATCACTTCTGCATAAATGTGCCAAGTCCATAGACAGATTCAAATTCTTATTTAACTACCCTAAATGCACAAACCTCTTTGGAAGAAGGGCGTGAAAAACTGCAAGTAAACAAGCCAGACAATTTTATTTGAACTTAGACTGGGCCTCTGTTTTAAAATAATTTTTGAAAGATGGGGATTGTGAATGGGAAATAAACTCTCTTTTATTAAGGCAAAAGTTAAAAAGACATTCAACCACCTGTATATACTGACATGCGAAGGATTAGCTTGGGTGTTGATCATGAATTATGATGATTATAACCCAGGGGATTCCTGGGTGTTAGAGGCCAGTGGCTACCTTTTAGCTGACCAGATTTTATGTGCCTCTTGTGAGAGTGAAATTATTTGATTTGCACTGCACCCAGAAGAAAAATGGGATGTAGCTCTAATCTCAGATTATAGTGGGGATAAAATGAAATTAAAAGGACTTTACCACTGAGAAGAAACAGTGTCAGAACTGTTAGGAAACCACCTAAAATGAATCAAATGAACAAATGTCTTGGTTCCCCCCCCCCCTTCTCCTATAAAGCACCAGGGGAACATAGAAAATATTTTTTCTTTCAGTTGTAGAGCCAAGGTGGCGCAGTGGTTAAATGCAGCACTGCAGGCTACTGCTAGATCAGCAGTTCAGCGGTTCAAATCTTACTGGCTCAGGGTTGACTCAGCCTTCCATCCTTCCGAGGTGGGTAAAATGAGGACCCAGATTGTTGGGGGCAATATGCTGACTCTCTGTAAACCGCTTAGAGAGGGCTGAAAGCCCTATGAAGCGGTATATAAGTCTACTGCTATTGCTATTGCTATTGTATCCTCATAACAGCCCTGTTAAATAGTTGGGGTGAGAAATAATTAGCCTAAAGTCACCTACTAAAATTGGCTGTTAAAAGTGGTTTGGAACTCGAGTTTCCACAGATCTCAGATCAACAACTACATACATAAGTATAAAGAACAAAATCTAATTTAAAGATGGAGGAAGGAGACGATTGAGCAAGGAATAACATTAAAGGAGGATCCGTCCTTGTTTGATGGAGGACCCTGAATAGGTTTGCGAATTGGAGTGCCTAAGTGTATAACCAGTATTGTCAAATGGGAAGCTCTTGGCAGATAATAAATACGCCGTGTGAATATGGAGAGACACAGACACAAGCCCATCTGCTGGAGAATGAGAAGAAAACAGACAAGAAGAAATAAGAAGAAAAGAAGCAAGAAGTGAAGAAGGAAAAAAGGAAGAAACAATAGGACAAACATTGGTTTACATTTAAATTAGATTTACTCAGTTGGTGTGGTAATTAACGTGCTTGGCTAGAAAGAGATTGAGTTCTAGTTCCGCCTTAGGCATGAAAGCTGGCTGAATGATTTTGGGCCAATCACTCTCTAAGCCCAACTCACCTCGCTGGGTTATCATTGTGAAGAAAATAAGAGGAACTTTATGCTTTCTCAAGTATTCAAGTCCAAGGTAATAAAGGCTAGATAAAAATCTAATAAATATGATAAGAGTGTGTCGTATAATATAATGTTAATTGTTTACTTGATTTATAGCAACAAGCAGCCACCTAGAAGTATTGGCCTGATTAACTTACATCTTTCCTTCATTCTTAGGTCCGATTCTCCCCAGTGGTCACTGTCCACTCACTGGTAGTCTGGGACTACGCCTCTCGGGCTGCCCGTCGGGGCCCATGGGAGGAAATGGCTCGTGACCGCTGCCGCTTCCACCGAAAAATCACTCAAATGGCAGCCATCTTGGAGCCTTGCTTGGCAAAGGATCATCGGGACAAAGTTTGGAAGAGGATCCATGGGGTTTCCACATCTTGCTGACAACAATCCCACCAGTTCCAGTACCACCAGAAAAGAGGATTCCAGAATTAGGAATGGAAAGCCTCTTTCAGATTAAAACAAAAGTTGAGGATTCTGGGGGAATTCTGATCCTGGTTTTCCATCACTAAAAGAAGAAAGTTGATTTTGCTCTTCTGTTTAGTGTTTTAAAGTGTGGTGTGAACTAGAACCTCATTGTTCATAGGTTTGAAGCAATTTTTCAACTGATGATTTTGGGGATATAGATAGAGTCTGGCCCAAACCATTGTGGATGAGATAAAAACATGTTGACTATATGAAGGAGTAACATGAGTGAAAATATCAAGGCTTTTGTTTTCTGAATAAATATAATTCTAGGTTGTTACTACTACTACTATTACTGCTATTGCTGCTGCTGCTGCTGCTACTACTACTACTACTACTACTACCTCCTCCTTTGTTTGAAAAGTCATGAAACATGGCTGTTTTAATGAATATATGTGAGAAATAATTGCTTTTAAATACAATATTAAGTTCTATACTGCAGTTCCATTTCACAGGCATTATTTGGGCTCCATTGTATGTGATCAGAATCTTTTGATTCCAAGTCAACCTTGCTTGTTCTGGAACTGGAATTTTGAGTTGGTCCCTCTGGATTTATCAGAGGGGCAATTTGAAGGTTATTGAGAAAAAAATGGTGCTAAACATATAGTTGAAAAGATCAACCAAGGCTGGCTCTGATTTCTTCACCTCTGTGGTCTGATTTCATGGCTAAACTTTTTCATATGCACCAATTAGAGGGCAAGAAATGGATCCAAAATTTGACAATTTACATTTTGTATATTGAAAGGAGTTGGTTTGCTTGTTTGAATATTTGCAAAATCTCTGCTAGATCGTATACATTTTTAATTGAAGAAAAATGTTTTTGAAAGATTTCTATTAATTGATATTAAATTATTCCTTTGAAATCCCTGGTTATGTCGACTATATCATAATTGATTATTGAATTGTAATAAGTATAACTATTTTTTTAAAGAATGTATCTCTTAATTGTTTTTTTAATATTTGTAATAACAGATGGTGATTAAGAATATAAGAAAAGCTGTTTGACATCAAAGTAGATACCTAGTCAGGTCTATGTTATTTTCTCTACCATAGTTAATAAGAACAGTTTTGCAAAACCCACAAGCAGGATGTGAGCAGAAAATCCTGCTTATAGTCCCTACCACCTGTTGTAAACTATGTCACACATGAATAATTTATAGCTTTATTCTTCAGAAATCTAGTAGCTCATTCTTAAAGGCTTTCCCAGTTTTTCCATTCTATAAAAGATGTAATGGCCATTAAATTTTTTTTGTAGATTATCACATCAGCTAACAATTGGTGAGAGTGATGCCCTCCTAAGGATCTTGGCAGATGTGATTCTGCTAGGACAGTCAATGGAACCCTAAATATTAAATAATGAATATATGTAGATGAATAGAATATGATATGTAAATATTGCCAGATATTAAGTGTTCTTGCTCAAGTTTCACATATTGAAATTTCCACAACCTCTCACCTTCTTTTATCAAATCTAACCCCGCCCCTTCTACACCACCCATCTGATGTTTACCATGCTAATTGGTTATTCATCCACATACGGTGTGACCAAAATATTTTGTTTTTCCTGTTCTTAATCCCAGTTCAGGACAGCAGCAGCTTTCTATATAAAATTTCATTCATATAACCTCCTAAACCATGATTATTAGAAAACATTTGCCTGGATTTAAGCAGCATGTTAAACCACAACAGTGGTTTACAAAGCCCAGTTTATGTAGCGCTCTGAACCAAAAACCAAACCAACCAATCAAGGCTGTTTATGGCTGACATATTGTGCAAAAACCAGATCGCAGTGTGAAATCGCTGGTTCGTGTAGTAGCTCAGCACTCAACACCAACCTTAGTCAATTCCAGATTTGCAAACGTCAATCCTTGATGTTCTCAACAGTAGCTGTTACTGGCTGGGGATTTCTGAGAATCGATGATCTCAAACGAAGTAGTAAAGATTGAGAAATGGTGTTTACATAAGCGTCCTTCTATGGCGTAAGATTCTTTTCCCAGCCTACATGGAGAAGCTGATGACTGAAACTGGGAATTTCTCCAGGCTGTCATCAGAGCAATAGTCCCCATTATCCCTCCACCTTCCAAAAGCGAATCACATCTGCGATTTCTAAGGCTATATTAAAATTGATGCAAAACACAAGTTTAGTGTATTCTGATTTGAGAATTGAGTCTGCTTTAGACATTATCCGGATTTTTAAATTATGTGATTTCTCAAAAGCTTTTAAGCTTGGGTTTTTCTTTTTTTTAAATCCACAGCTTTTAAATGTCCAGCAGGGCAGTTTTTGGTCAGCTTGACTCTTATAAACTGTCAAATACATGCCAGTTTCCAAAAGCACCAAATTTTGATCATGTGACCATGGGGAGGCGGCAATGGTTGTAACTAAACACTTCATATGTCACTCTTTTCAAGGCAATTTATTTGAATGATCACTAAACAAACAAGGGCTACTATACCTATCAAATAAATAAGGGCAACTAGATACAGGTAATCCTCGATTTACGACCAAAGTTGAGCCCAAAATTTCTGTTGCTAAGCGAGTTCTGTCCATTTTACCACCTTTCTTGCCACAGTTGTCAAGTGAATCACTGCAGCTGTTAAATTAGTAGCATGATTGTTAAGTGAATTTGGCTTCCCAACCAACTTCGCTTGTCAGAAGGTTGCAAAAGGGGATCACTGCAACCATCATGAATATGAGTCAGCAGCAGTGGTGGGTTGCAGGAGATATGCCTCGGTACGGGTGTTACCGGAGCCTGCCCGGAGCATCGAGTACCATTCCGGTACGGTGCTCTGGAGGGCCCACCCTCCTACCCGAGCTCCTTACCTGTTCTTTAAAGCCTTTGGCACTTCTGCGCAGGAGCATGGTGCATACAGTCTATGCAATGCTCCAGTGAGGAGCTGGAGCGTTGCGGAGGCTTGCAGAAGCATCGCTGGCAGTTACAGCGCATGTGTGCGCTGCATGGGTCCATGTGGGCAACACCAGGCCCGTTCCAACCGTACCGGTTGGAAAGGAATCCGGAACCCACCACTGGTCAGCGGCCAAGCGCCTGAATATTGATCATGTGATCATGGGCATGCTGCAATGGTCATAGTTGTGAAAAATAGTAATTAAGTCCCTTTTTTCACTGTCGTTGAACATTGAATGGTCACTAAATGAATTGCTGTAAGATGAGAAGCCCTGTATCAGAAGAAAGATATTTCCTATCTATTGAGTTTTCTCCTTAGACCGACATAGCTCTAAAAAAATATCTGGGAGAAACAATCAGTGGAAAAGAGCCCAAATCATAGCCACAGAAATGACTTGTATGGAGTCTGGATCTTTTCATGCAACAGGAATGCAAGCTTACATACCAAGGGTGATTTAGTCATCATTAAAAATAACCTAAGCCAACGCCTGATACAAACAGCTCTTAAGGAACCATCCTAAAATAACTGAGATGGAAAAAAATATATGAGTATTATTATATGTTTCATTGGATAACCCCTGACGTGAGGTAGACTTCCGTCAGTACCATAATATTAGGCCTAATTTCAGATGACAAAATTGGGATCTGAGTTATCCACCTTGGAGGCTTTACAGATAACTTTAGACTACAACTCACAGAATTCTCCAAATTGGATAGAAGTTATGGGAACTGTAAATTAAAGTGATCTTAAAATCTTGTGATTAGGGAAAAGTATACATACTGAAAGGAAAAAGTGAAAAGAGCAAAAGATTTGCACAAATCATCCATCCATATCTACATGCCTATCACACTATATTCGATTTCATTATAGCAAGTAAGGAAAATGTGTAATAAATAGCAAGTCAAATATATTGATGACATAAGGGGAAATAAAAGAAAATGCAATTAAATTGAGTTTAAGCCAACATCATTCACTATACCTTTCTACATTTTTCTGTCTCTGCAGACATTTTAGCCTTTATATTTATTCTCTGTTGTTAGTTGTTATTTTTTGTTATTGTCACCCATATTGCATAGGCTAGTCAGAGTCACAGTTTGAGTTGCGAAGTCTTATAAATCATCAAATAAATAAAATCCAGATTTCTACCATGCACATATACTAATTCATATATTGCCTTTGGTTCGTAAGATTTACCTTATTCAGAGTTACACCATCTGTCTAATCCTAATTTACTTTGTCTTTCCCTTCTTCTTAACCTACTTTATTTTTCCTTCATAGGATGTTTTTGTACTTTGATCCTTTCATTCTCTGTTTGATTAAACCCCTTTGTTGACATCTTTTGTTCAACCTGGTCATTCCATTTCAGATTCGGTCCATATTCATTCATGACTCTTTTTCTTCGTATACCATCACACAAACTCCTTAAAGTAACTCATTCCCATGTCCTTCAACTTATTTTTGTTTCTTCTGACATTCCCTGTCTTGCTCCTTATAATTAAGCAGAAACACTTGAAAGCCATGTGTGTTTTTGTGGACAAACCCTTTGTTCTTTACAACAGATTACATAGAGCTCATTACCTTTCTGACAGCATTTGGAAATACTTCCTGTTTAAATGTTGGGTTATTATTGTTAAGAATTTTTCCACCCCTACAATAAGAAGCACATAATAGAATTTTAAAGGGCTTGGATACAAGCATGGTTTGTTTAATTCAACCTGTGTTCTTCCGAGACCCTCCAAATGTGTTGGACTATTAACTCCCACCAGCAGTTTCTCAAGTTTGGGCGCTTGAAGATGGGTGGACTTCAACTCACAGAATTTCGCAGCCTGCTCCTCGGAGTTGAGGTCCACTCATCTTCAAGTGCCCAAGGTTGAAATACACTGCTCATCAGTATTAGGGTAAAGATAATGGGGGTTTAGGAGGGAAGGGCACAGTGGCTAAGACGCTGAGCTTGCCGATCAGAAAGGTCAAGTTTGGCAGTTTGAATCCCTAGTGCCGCATAATGGAGTGAGCTCCCATTACTCGTCCAAGCTTCTGCCAACCTAGCAGTTCGGAAGCAGGTAAAAATACAAGGAGAATAATAGGAACCACCTTTGGTGGGAAGGTAACATTGTTCCATGCGCCTTTGGAGTTTGTCATGCCGGCCACCTGACCAGAGATGTCTTTGGACAGCGTTGGCTCTTCAGCTTTGAAACGGAGATAAGCACCGCCCCCTAGAGTCGGGATCAACTACCACATGTGCAAGAGGAACCATTACCTTTACCTTTTTGGGGAGTATAGTATGCAATGCTGACACTTCAAGAGATTACTAGAATGGAAGAAGGTTAGTTTAATGTAACCTCTAAGCAACATTTTAAGATTTTTTAAATCTTACCTTTATTATTTTTATAAATAACTCAAAATGTCAAGCGTACCTAATACTCCTGTCCTATTTTCTCCACAACTCTATGAGATGGGTTCGGCTGAGTGACTGGTCCAAAGTCACCCAGCTAGCTTTCATGTCTAAGGTAGGACTAGAACTCATTGTCTCCTGGTGATTGGCCCAAAGTCACCCAGTTGGCTTTCATGCCTAAGGTAGGACTAGAACTCATTGTCTCCTGGTGATTGGCCCAAAGTCACCCAGTTGGCTTTCATGCCTAAGGTAGGACTAGAACTCATTGTCTTCCTAGTTTCACCTCACTGTGTGAAACCTTATCAAGGCAAGAGTTGATGTCATCTGGCATAATATATTCATTCACGTCTCTAGTTAGTCCACTTACTTGATGGGAGAGGTTTTTCTTTCTTGAAGAATTCTTCATCCAACACCTAATTTATTTTCGTGATTTACATTTCTTACACAACACTGCATACCATGACAGAGAATCAACAGGCATCCACGTTATGTACATTCTGTTCTCTGGGGCTAATATCCCATTTCATTTACTTGCGTTGTGGAAATTATGTATAAACCCAAGTTGATCCAGTCGCGACAAAACCACAACCACTGATTTAAACTCTTGTTAAAGAATGTGTGGAGTATGGGTTCAAAAAGATGTCGAGTCCACATTTTAAAGAGTTAAGTGGTTCTATTTCTTCCTTGCTCTGAATAACTTAAGCCTCTGAGAAATCATGAGGGGGGAAAGATAATGACTTATGTTCTAATTCTTGTCACTGACTCAGAAGTAATTGTTGAATAGGTTGTGACCACAAAGAGAATGCACTTCTTAGGTCATGAGTAGGTTCCATATGGAGGTGTATCACCTCTGGTTTCCAATATACTATACCTTAAAAGGACAGGCATATTTGTGTGTAATACATGCATGCACATGTCTACATGCATGGACCAGGTTTTTCTCTGTGGAAGTACAGGAGGATCATGAGTCTGATTCAGTGAGTGACCAACTGTAAGGCTTCTACATTTCAGAACATTTAAGTGAAAATAGGGGAAATAATACGTCAATAATTACAGTTTGAAACATCAGCTTTTTATGGCTCATTACAATCCTCTCCAATTATTCCTTCATAGATGTGGTTGAGCTCCTTTAGCAAGTGTTGTTAACTATGACTGGATTGTTGGAATGACTGTTGTAAGACATATTTCAATTAAACAAGTGTTTTGAAGGTGATGTGACATAATGTCATAACTAAGTTTGAAATAACATCAGCTGCCCTACAGGCAGGCAGTGTAGAGAAAGGAGAAAGAAACATATCCACCTCACAGGAGGTTCAGTAAGATTCTGTCAATGTTGCGACCAATGGATCCCCGGAAAGGATTCTAGAAATACCTTCATTTTCATTTAAATAACATATATCACTATTAACAAGGTGGGTCACAATGAGCCAGATGTTTAGGTTAGATTTGGCAATTTTATATACCTTTTGAGTCCTTCATTAGGTTTTTGTTCTCACGGCAATGTTCTTATGTGATAGTATCAAAGATACAGGCCGTCGTCAACTTACAAACACAATTGAGGCCATCTCTATTGCTAAGCGAGACAGTTCAATTTTATAATCTTTCTTGCCATCACTGTTAAGGGAATCACTGCAGTTATTAAGTTAGTAACACGGTTAAGTGAACCTGGATTCCCCCCACCCCATTGACTTTGCTTGTCAGAAGGTCATAAAAGGTGATCACATGACCCTAGGACACTGCAACCGTCATAAATATGAGTCAGTTGCCAAACATTCCAAATTTTGATCACATACCATGGGAATGCTGTAACTCTTGCAAATGTGAAAAAATATCATTTCTCTTTTTTCAACGCCATTGTAACTTCAAACAGACATGAAACAAATAGCCGTAAGTTGAAGACTACCTGTATTGTCACAGAATGTAACCTTTTTCCAAGTAAAGCTGCCTTTTACAATTGGTAATTTTGTCAATGTTGATGGTGTTCAAATGATGCTCCAAATATTTTGGGATTGTATCCAAGGCACACATCGCCACTGGGGCTATCTTTGCTTTTTTGGGTGGGGGGGGGCACAAATCATTTTATTTCTATTTTCAGGTCTTTGTATTATTATAAACCGCAATATTAACTCTAAAGGTTTCACAACCAAAGCTTAAATTATATGAATGTGGTTTTTTTCCCCAATGTTATTTAAAAAAAACCCAAGGTCATTTACAGTGGTATTTCGTTCATCAGTAATTCATTCTGGAAGATGGGACAAATATTAAAATCGACAAGTACCGAGAAAACCACATGACTTGCTATTTCGGCTGGAAAAAACAATGAAGCACAAGGCAGCCAATGTTAGCAAGTTCTCCCTTGCACATCAACTACAGGGAGAGAAAAAAGGGTATCATGACAAGATTTCTGCTTTAAAATAAATATCAAATTCAACAAGTTTTGAAGCAGTTGAGTGTCCAGGTATGACTGTATTCAAAATTTGCTGTGGTTCATACTGCTTAAAAGCTCAGTTGAATAACTGGACCCAGTAAAGTCCAGAGGTGAATCTCCTCCTCCTAATCTTGAAGAGGTTCCAAAGGTTCAAAGTTCAATCAACACATCAAAGCAAGTAGGTTTTTAATTTTCCCTCTCGCCTAATTATTTCTCCTGAATCATTTCTGTACATTTCCATATGCTAAAAGCTAGGGCTTGCATATCTAGGCTACGCAAATCAGGACAACAGCTAGATGGCAGCAAAAAGCTCCTTTTCCTTTGCCTCTTTCCTACCACCACCTAGTGGCTATTTAAACTTGGGCAATCATACAGATGGGAAACTCTAGGGTAGGGACCATGTTTAAATCAAGCAGGTACAAGCTTTTTAGGGCATCAGAATGATGTAGGTGTCCTGGGAATGCTGCACTCCCTGTGCCGTTCAGGAAAGGAGTGCATTGCTCTCGGTTACTCCCATGAAATACACCTTCCTTCCTTTGGGAGGAGCTGCCTGTGAGGAGGATGGCCAAGTATTTATTCATATAGTACAATATCACAGGCTCCTGTGATTCACAGCTGATTCAAACTTCATCCAATTGTTGGCCAGCAACTGGCCCTTTCTCCCCCCCCCCCCCAAGCCTGTAGGTCAGGGCTGTCAAACTCACGGCCCGCGGGGTGGATGCTTCACGCCCATACACGGTTTAGCCAAGGGGGAAAAAGTCCCGATATGTCACGTGACCCTGCCATGACAATGTGAGCTTGACACCCCTGCTGTGATTATGGAATATACTGCACCTCCTCCAAGGATCTTAGCAGGCAGCAAAATGTGGTCCACTTTGTAGGGAAGCAAAGCCCAACTGGGCAGGCAGGGGTCGGCAATCTTAAACATTCAAAGAGCCACAAAGGTCCTAACCAGAAACTCCCTATTCAATTCTGGAGCCCCTACCCTAGAGGCTCCTCCTAGCGCAGCATCCTTTTTTCTCCACCTGTCCTAACCAAACTCCCTATCAATTGTGGAGCCGACTGGCAACAGGGAGCCACAGCAGAGGAATGAAAGAGCCACATGTGGCTCCTGTTGTGGCCCGCCAGTGGCCAGCAGAGCTGGCAGCAGATTCAGAGAGTGAGGAGGTTGGGGAGGAACGTGAGCCAACCCTGGAGTCTGGGGAAGGCTCGGATGAGGACTCTGTGTCGGAGGCAGATATGGGACCAAGGCCATCTCATTTGGTAGTTATTTGCTGCCTCCGGAGCCTGATATCAGCAAGGCAGAAGAACAGCGGGAGCCTGTTCCCATTGTGCGCATGCGCAGAGCTGCCAGAAGGCAAGAACAATTAAGAAAACAGGGTCAACTTGGCAGTAAGGCTTGGAGATGATTGACCCACTCCCCTAAGACATAAAAGAGGAGCGAACAGACCTGAGCTTTTGCAGTAAACAATTAGTTCATCTGGTCAATTCAAGCTTGGAACAGTTCTGTTTGACTCTGTGCTAAGTTTGGCCTTGGTCTGCATTTGGCAGTTAGGTCTCTGGCAGCATTCAGAGGGAGATAAGGTAGGTGTTTATCAACATTCCCCTGAAAGACTGTGGCAACTCGAGCAGACATCTGTCAGAATCTTCACAGGCTGTTTGTGAAGCCTGGGAATGACCATAATTTCACAGTTGTATAAATAAAAGAGGGTTTTGGGGAATAAAATTGTGATTTATGCTTTCTCAGGAAGCCTAGGTCAGAACAGCTCCAGAGCTGCGGGTTGCTGACCCATCCTAGGGAATATGGGCTAGAGCAGTGTATCTTGATCTTGGCGACTTGAAGATGGGTGGACTTCAATTCCCAGTACTCACCCAAATAAGTGACTTTCAAGCAACATTTATTCTTACACACAAGTCCTCACACTTAAAGCCACTGCAATATCCCTGCAGCGACATCATCAAAATTTGGGTACTTGGCAATTGGCATGTATTTTCAATAGTGGCAGAGACCCAAGATTTGGTGATCACCATTTACGATCTTCCTGGAGGTCGCCACCAAAAAAAGTCAATGGGGGGAAGCCGGATTTGTTTAATGACCATGGGGATTCGCCTACAAACTCAGCAAAAAGGAGCAACTCACTTGACTGCACCATTCCAGACCCAACTGTAGTTGTAGGTCAAGGACTTACCTATATAAGATGGGCAAAGTAGTGCAAAAGCCAAGATAGAAAGAAATGGGTTCTTTTAAATTATTTTTGTCTTCCAGACTAAAGGAAGTTGTGGCAAAAATAAAAAATGGTCAATGACCATTCACCCAAAATGCTCATACGGTGGAGTAATTTTTCATACTTGGTAAGATATCCTGCCAGGTAAGGAGCAAGGTGGCTCAAATGGTTAGAACGCTGTGGAAGGAGGTTACTAAGCCCATGTTTGAGACCCAAGAGCTGCCATGGTATAGGGATGAGCTCTTCTCCTTCACTCCAGGTCATGCTAGGGACATGAAAGAAGCCCCCAGGGAGTCCCCCAGGGTAACAGTGATGTCACCGGCGAATTCTTTCCCCTGGGAAGTGCCTCAGTGCTTCTGACACAATTGCAAAAAAATCCCTGCCAAGTATACAGATGCTGAAACCATGTCACATGTAAAGGGAAGATGGCGAAATAAAAACTTCAAGAAAATACTTCAAGGGGTTCAATTTATTAAATAAAAGGGAACCAAATTGTTTTAAAACAAAACCCAGCAGTTCTCAACACATATTTCGCAAACGGGTGCAACGCTGTATTTCTGGGAACCAATTGTGGAAAAAGAGGAAGGAGGGAGGGCAAAGCACAATACTCTATTTACGAGGCATTATACTCATTCCCTTATCTTCCCTTTTATATACCCATAAGCATTTCTGAACTTGTAGGATAAAATTACCCGAGAATGTCAGGATGTCTAACCCTTACTTCCTTCTCTTTCGCCTGCCCCAACCTTTTGAACAACAAAGCTGTTCCTATTTCCTCCCTTAATTATTTCCCTTTGTCAAGAGAGTCATCTGTTTGGTAAAAAATGTTTGCTTACGTGGAATAGATGGAGGATTGGGTGCAGAGGGCAATTAGTAAGCATTCTCCTCTTTTAAACATTGCCTTGCATGGCCCCTCCTCCACAGTCCTGGGGTGAAGTTTGATTTAGATGCCCTGACAATGAGAAAAGAAGAATATACAGGACTCCACCATAGCCGTGTTCTATTGGACAGCAACCTCTGGGTGTGCTTGGTTCTGAAGAGCTTCTGTTTGGTCTTTCTGAGCGTCATGCTCTGATGCTCCGGGGGCTCCTGGATGGGACTCAGGAGGAGAAGCATGACCTAGAAAAAAGAGACCACTGTTACACTTGTGATTCATCTGAAGAATCTTGTTCCTCAAATACCTGGTTCCACCACAAAACCGCGGTAGACTAAAGCGCGCTCGACGAAAGCGCGTATCTGACGTCATCACAGCGCGACGAAAACATCACGCTGTGAGCGGTAAAGTTAAAATTAACGCAAAAACCTTACTCTAACCCCCCCAAACCTAACCCTAAACCTAACCCTTAACGTAACCCTAAACCTAACCCTAACCCTTAACCTAACCCTAACCCTAACCTTTACGTGAATCGGCTTGCTTTAAAAGCGCTTTTTAAAGCGCCCTTTTTTCTTCGCGGTCGTATTTGTCGCGCTGCTGATGACGTCAGGTACGCGCTTTAATCGGGCGCGCTTTAGTGGACCGCGGTTTTGTCGTGCCACGCAAATACCTACCCACCCACAGGTTTGGGAGTGAAACCAATCCCTGAGGGACACTTTCTCTAGATGTTTCTTCACCAAAACTAGGCTTATGAAGATGGTATGGCGTTTGTACCCTGAACTTAGCAAGGGTCAGAAAACAGATGAGTTTTCAGGTATTGATTACTATAATATTCAACAGCCCCAACAGCGATAGCAAATAACGCAGGAAGCTGTAACCCAGCAATAACTCTAGCAACATAGATTCCCCATTTGAGTTCCTATCCTTTCTATGAATTTATAAATTTGGTTTACGGGAGCCTGCACTGCCACCCTGTGGGTGATGTGCAACCAGCCATCCCATAGTTACTAGCTAACCTCTTTATCTTAACCAACATGAACTTCCGGGATTTTTGGATAGGGGTGCACTTTTACTAAACATTTTACCAGATGAATGGGATATAATTAAAGCATAATAAAGTGTTTAAATGGCAGCAGCACACGGCAAAAACTCTTTTGAACATACCAACACCAGCTAGAAAACTTTTAATTACCTCTTCTTTAGGTAGAGGAGGGAAGGGCAACTTATTGCTGCAAAAGTTAAGCTTCCAACTGCTCTTTGTTCCAAAAGTTAAGCTTCCAACTGCTCTTTATTCCTTTAGTTGAAGCTAAAACAGTTCACACCTAACTTCCCCAAGAAAATAAGAGTAAGAATGCTTTTTCAATAATGTTTGGCAGAAGGGCTCTGATTGATGGCAAAGCATTATTTTTATGAGCACTTCTATCAACTGGTGAGAGAACTAGCTTGCTTCCACCATAAGTGGATGAGAACCTGTATTAGAATTCTGATTCTCACATTCACTTAAAAAACTGACACCCCAGGTTTTACTAAACCAGGATCTCCCCAGACATTTTGGTCATCCCAAACTGCAGGACAAACCATCTTATCCAGGTCAAGGTCCTAGATACCTGAGGAGATTGAGAGCAGACCCAGCTAAATTAAGCTAGAACAAGTAAGATCTGCAATAAGACAGAAAATGGGATGGGATAGAACAACACTTTTCAGGATACCCTTATTCTATTATTTTTTTTGCCCTGATTTTCCACATTTTTTCTTGTCCAACAGTAAAAGTTCAATGGTTCTTTGACCCCCAAGGTTTACACAGGCATCCCAACAATCTTTGAATGAAGCCTGGTGTTATTCTCAAATGCAATAAGGAATAAGTGCAACTTTGGGGCTAAATAAGAACATAGAGCATTATTTGTATTGTGTGATCTTGAGGCATCACCAAACAGGCTAGCAGTAAACAACAGCCCAAACAAGGAACTGGGACTACTCCCACCAACACTGACAAGTGAAGCCACTAGTATATAAAATGTGAGCAAACCCCATTCCGTATTGGCACTGAGAATGTTACCTAATTTGGCAATGAAACATCTACAAGAAAATAACCAAGCTCAGAGAACACCAAGGGCCTTTTGCCTCATCAACTGTTTTATTCTATGTCTACACTGAGTTGAGTTACAAATACATAAATGCAGTTAACATGAGTATCAGCAACCAAACAATTCCAAAGTTTACCTAACCCCATAAGGTAAAGATGTTCTTGCACCAAAGTACTCCATTTTTACCTTACAATGAAACAGCTTTAGAAAGCCATGTTCTCATAACCCTTTTAAAGAAGCTCAGAATTCTGGTCTTTCAATCTTTTTCCTCTCTCAAATGGACCTAAATTGCCCTCTCTTCCCCCAAAATCGTAGCTTCCCGGCTCTTACCTGCTGGGGCTGCATGAGGCGGCTGTGCCTGGAACTTCAATTCTCCCCCAGGACCAACCTGGGATTGTTGAGATTTTCTCTGTTCCATTTGAAGCACAACCTGGAAGGGATGGGAATGTGGAAAGAATGCCATCAGATACAAAGCAAACCTTTGACTTTTTAGTAGACTCTGCCTACTGAAGATTCTCCGGCATACATAAAAGAAATGCCAGAAGATCATCTGTAACTCAGGGGTTGACCATCTCTATTCCGAATGCTAGTCCCAGATTGCAGCAAACGAAGATCCACAATTGAAGGCCCCACTGTTACAATGAGACATTTTCGAGGAAAATTCCCATGATTCAATTTATGAATGGAAAGAACATGATCTGTTTGGGCCACGTTTATTTGACCAGGGCTGAGGATAGAATACAAGGATCTGTCTCCTTAAGAGGGGGTTCAAACGACCTTTGTAGTATAAAGAAGTATAATAAATGCTGACCTGCAATAATATCAAATGCCAATCATCTCATGTTTGATAACATATTTAATTTTCTGCTTATAGTGAAATTCCAGAGATAGTAAAGCAGAGCGTGACCCGTCAAATGCACGCCAACGAAACCACGCCAACGAAACCACGCCCGCCATCAACAAACAACATAGAGGGACGCGAAAACAACGTTATAAAGGGTTAGGGTTATAGCGTTGTTTTTGTGTCCCATTATGTTGTTTGTTGATGGCGGGCATGGTTTCGTCGGTGCGGTTTCGTCGGTGCGCATTTGTCAGTGAACCAAGCAGAGGTTAGCATTTTTTGGGGGTGGTTAGTTGCTTCTTAGTTTCCATCTAAAAATACAAGTGCTGTTTTAAGATAACTTCTGAGCCAATATTTGCAAATGCTTAAGTAAGCTTTAAGTAGGGTTGAGTTCAGGGACTTTCACAATTTGACAGTTTTGTTTAGGTATTTGTTTTAATTTGCTTTAATTTGAAATTCAGAGTCAAGAAACAATTCCCTACAAAAAGATCTTAAGGAAATCTGTAGTCCTCCATATTACTGAACTACAGCTTCCATCATTTCTTAATATTAAGCATACTATACAACAGAGCTGTCAAACTCCCGGCCTGTGGGCTGGATGCGTCACATGCTGGTCACGCCCATGCCCGGTTTAGCAAAGGGGAAAAGTCCCCACTACGTAGTGACGTTGACATGACATGCTGCCTGGGGATTTCTGGGAGCTGAAGTCCACACACCTTAAAGTTGTCATGGTTGAGAAACACTGCTGTGTTTCTGTGCTGGAAATTACAGGATCCCATATAGGTATATAAATGTCAGCATTACATGGGACTTGTTTCCCTTTATCAAAAGGAAGCATAGTGGGAAGAAGGCGGGGCTTAGCAGCGAGAAGACGGATTTTCAGGCTATTCCTGAAATTCCCCTATTCCGA